GGGCCTTCCAAACCTTTAAATCGTTATATCTCCGTAAATATGGCTCTAATCGCGAAAAGAGGGGTGTTCAGATGCTCGAAATTTTCATACCCGGATTTAACAGTATATAATATTACAAAATCTTTTATTTGTCGGCTGGTGGGCCTTCCAAACCTTTAAATCGTTATATCTCCGTAAATATGGCTCTAATCGCAAAAAGAGGGGTGTTCAGATGCTCGAAATTTTCATACCCGGATTTAACAATATATAATATTACAAAATCTTTTATTTGTCGGCTGGTGGGCCTTCCAAACCTTTAAATCGTTATATCTCCGTAAATAGGGCTCTAATCGCGAAAAGAGGGGTGTTCAGATGCTCGAAATTTTCATACCCGGATTTAACAATATATAATATTACAAAATCTTTTATTTGTCGGCTGGTGGGCCTTCCAAACCTTTAAATCGTTATATCTCCGTAAATATGGCTCTAATCGCAAAAAGAGGGGTGTTCAGATGCTCGAAATTTTCATACCCGGATTTAACAATATATAATATTACAAAATCTTTTATTTGTCGGCTGGTGGGCCTTCCAAACCTTTAAATCGTTATATCTCCGTAAATATGGCTCTAATCGTGAAAAGAGGGGTGTTCAGATGCTCGAAATTTTCATACCCGGATTTAACAATATATAATATTACAAAATCTTTTATTTGTCGGCTGGTGGGCCTTCCAAACCTTTAAATCGTTATATCTCCGTAAATAGGGCTCTAATCGCGAAAAGAGGGGTGTTCAGATGCTCGAAATTTTCATACCCGGATTTAACAGTATATAATATTACAAAATCTTTTATTTGTCGGCTGATGGGCCTTCCAAACCTTTAAATCGTTATATCTCCGTAAATATGGCTCTAATCGCGAAAAGAGGGGTGTTCAGATGCTCGAAATTTTCATACCCGGATTTAACAGTATATAATATTACAAAATCTTTTATTTGTCGGCTGGTGGGCCTTCCAAACCTTTAAATCGTTATATCTCCGTAAATATGGCTCTAATCGCAAAAAGAGGGGTGTTCAGATGCTCGAAATTTTCATACCCGGATTTAATAGTATATAATATTACAAAATCTTTTATTTGTCGGCTGGTGGGCCTTCCAAACCTTTAAATCGTTATATCTCCGTAAATATGGCTCTAATCGCAAAAAGAGGGGTGTTCAGATGCTCGAAATTTTCATACCCGGATTTAACAGTATATACACCCCTATTCTGTATTTCGTTAATCAAATTCCATCACAAGCAGTATATACATTTGTTCAAGGACACGCTTAAACCTAAGTTTCACAACCTAACACATTATCCTACAGCAATATTGAAGGGTGGGCCACTTCGGCCACATTGGGCTATGCGCTATGAGGCCAAGCATAAAGAATCGAAACAGTACAGCAAAATCAATCAGAATCGCAAAAATTTGTGCAATTCACTGTCAATTAAGGCAAATTTTAAATTCGCTTATCATCTAGTAAATAAGTCGTTTATCACTCCAAGAATTGATTTGAGTATTGCAACACATAAAACTGCAAAATTTGAACTTGAACAAGAAAAGTTTATCAAATGTAATGCGTGCTTAGTACAAAAAGAATGTGTAACGTTTTTGTCGTGTTTCGAGAAACAAGGTGCAATCTATAAGAAAGGAACTGTATTCTACTTGCAAGCAGGGATGTTCCTTAATGTTTATCAAATCGAAGAAATATTTTTAGGAGATCATGAGGAATTATTACTACTTTGTGCTAAGTTCAATGCGATTGATTTTAACAGTCACTTACAGTCATTTAATATTGAAAAATGCCATTCATACAATGTTGTACGTATCAGTGAGTTTGAGTCAAGGCCAATCAACATACACATTGTAAATAATTCATCATATTTGAGAATGTGCAATTATTACAACCTCAATGATATTGTACCAAATAGCGTTGTATACTGATACAAACAAGTGGAAAATAATAAAAATAAATCAATGTTTCTGTAAGTTAAGCCAACATCAGTTAGGTAAAACACTTAGCTCTCAATTATGAATTAACTTTTTTGAAATGCTCTGTATTCAACAATAAAATATTTGACGTCTTTTTATTATTTACAACTGAAACCGGGCTACTTGGAAGTGTGATAATGCAAATAAAAATGCACAATTAGTTGGTATTGTCTTGGTGTCTGCAACGCATTTAAAACTGGATTTAAATGCATCGAAGACACCAAAGCGATTCAAACTAATCGCGCACTTTTATTTGCTTTATTGCGCAATAAAATTCTAAAATAATTTCAAAATACGTTTGTTTTAAAAAAATGGTGCGTTTAAAATAAACATAACGATGTAGCTAACAAACATAAATCGCATGTTTAAAATAAACATATTTATGTTTGTTAACAAAGCTGTCAAATCAATCAAAAATAATACGTTTATTTTCAATACGAATATTTTTAAAATAAACGTAACATTATTTTTATTTTAAACCTTGATGTCACATGACTTCAAACATGGAATACGTTTGAAATCAACCGAGTTTATTTTTGTGGCCAGAACAAACTGAATTTACGTTTAAATTTACCTCAAATATTTTTGCTTCGATGATACACTGATAAATTGAACTATTCCCATTTTGCTTGAAATTTAATCAATTTGACATTAAACTCAGTTTAATCATACCGAATGATTAAAAAATAAGCATCTGATATTAATCCCAGTTTAATCATGGTTGATTAGATTGTAGATTATCTTTTTTTGAATAAATTTTAATCATTTTAGATTCTATTTTAATAATTTTTGATTGAATTTTAATCTTTTTTGATTATACATCAGTATTCAAAAAGAATAAAATTTAATACTGGAAAGATTATTTCGATTTTAATCATGCATGACTATTGCCAAAGTAATCATGGCTCGGACTCAATAAGGTGAAGCGGGAAACTGCATACTTTTTAAGCTTTTATGATTTAATTTATCTTTGAGTGTATATTTCTCTGCGTGTAAATGCATAAAATTTATTCATTTTTGTACTAGTAATTACTCATAAATGTGTAAAATTTTACTCATTTTGTGGGTAGTCCCGTTTTCATTCAAAAATGTGTACTTTATAGTCATAAAAGAGTTTTTTGCAATTACCGTGTGGGACCGTTGTTCTGGTACTGACCCGCATAAACGCGAACCATAAATTGACCTTACCTAAAAAGGTTAAAAATTGTTTATAATCCCTGCTAAACTTTAACTGAAATGGTTATGGAACTTTACATGAACGTTTAATGATAAAGTTTCAACCTTATGTATTATGGTTTTTTGGAACTGGACCTTACAAATAATGGGTTGTTAAGAACCATTACCGTTCCAAATTCTTGTTTTCTCCATACATTTTCAGAAAGAGAACTATATTAGAACCTTTTAACTTATGGTTTGAGAACTTTAATGGTAATGGTTATGGTAGTCAGTAAGGTCCACGAATGGTTTTGTAACATCGATCAACTTTATGTGGAATATATCGCGAATTGGTTGCCTGTAATTTACTGATTACCAATTCACGATATATTCCACGTAAAGTTGAGCGATAATACAAAACCATTAATGGACCTTACTGACTACCATAACCATTACCATTAATGTTCTCAAATCATAAGTAAAAACGTTCTTATATAGTTCTCTTTCTGAAAATGTATGGAGAAAACAAGAATTTGGAATGGTAATGGTTCTTAACAACCCATTATTTGTAAGGTCCAGTTCCAAAAAACCATAATACATAAGGTTGAAACTTTATCATTAAACGTTCATGTAAAGTTCCATAACCATTTCAGTTAAAGTTTAGCAGGGATTATAAACAATTTTTAACCTTTTTAGGTAAGGTCAATTTATGGTTCGCGTTTATGCGGGGAGTGAGCCAAAAATAATAATGATTTTCTTCGGGACCCAGTGGTCTTAGAGTTACCTCTATGTTTATACTTTGTTCGGGGTGTCAAAACTACGCATTTTTAAGTTTACTATGTGGTGTAAAAAGTATGCAGATTCTGACGTACATTCAATTTACGCAAAAGAGAGTAAAAACAGTATACTCCTTTATTGGGTAGTCCCATTTTCCAAAGAAAGAGCGTACTTTATAGTCATAAGAGAGTTTATTGTGATTACCGTGTGGTGCCCGCTTTTCTTCAGATTTTTCTTCCAATCTACCTTAGGAAGTTTCTGCCAGCGTCTCCAGGAAGTTTATTTCGTCTTCTCAAGGAAGTTCAATTAATTCTCCCAAAAATTTCTTTCGTCTTCTTCTGAAAGTTTGACCATAAGCCAAAGGTTTTTTTTTTGCTTCTTCTGCCTTTCCCTGGAAATGGCTACTTCTGGAAATTTACTTCCGGTTTTCGAATCTTTTTTGGCTTCCTTTGAATGTGAAATCTGATTTTTTTTTTCCGATAGTTTATTTAAATTTTCGCCACAAGTTTCTCAATTCGTGTCTTGGAAGTTTCCCGGAGGTTTTTCCAGCTTTTCTCGAACCTCATCCAGGAGAGCTTCTTTCGTCTTTCTCTGGATGTTTTTTCAACTCCATTCAGAAGCTTATTCAAACGTTTCCCGGAGTTTTCTTCCGGAATTTTCCGATCATAGTTACATAGATTAAAGCTACAATTTTGCTTTGATTAACGGCTTTCTCACTGCAACGACTACGATGTAATCTGCCCGAAATTTCGGCCATAGATTGTGATTTTTTCAAGGGAAAATATTGTTTGTCGTTATTGTCAATAGTTTAGTCGTTGTTGTGGATGATTTTTCATATTTTGGTTTCATTTAATGATATTTTAAGACTAAAATTTTCTCTTTAAAAAACGGCAAAAATATAAAATTAAATAAATAGTAAATACCGATAAATACCGGTTTTTTGATATCTTTGATACCGATACGATTTAAAACAATCTGGCAACGCTGGTCTCAATTCACGATCTGGATAACCTATCTCTAAACTCATTGGTTTATTTTCCCGCATTGCATTCGAAGAGTGCAACGGGTGCAACACGTAACTTTTTAACATTACGCCGTGAATTTCGTGAATAGCTAGAATAGAAAATTAATAATTTGATTAGAAATTGAACCAATCATGAATATATTGAGAAAGTGCGGTTTTTGCCAGCAGCCGGCTGCCTTGATGTGTAGCCGATGCCTAGAGGTGTACTGTTCCTTCGAATGCCAGATTCGGGACTGGTCAGAACACAAACAAATCTGCGTCACCGTTCCGTGAGTATTAGTTATCTAAAATTTGGATTTTTTTTTTATGCTTTGCAATTCGACCTGTCTGCAGCAAACTGTACCCAAATAATAGCTATTTGGAGCTTTTGACCAGTGGCGTAAGGCTACCGCTTAAGGGTCCCGCCATGATTGAGCAAGGATCGATTCGACTGGTCAACAATGGACGTTCTTTGAAGTCGAACTTTCCCATGGGATCCGTCGAAGTATCGGTGGACCGGAAAGCGACAGACTCGATTCCGGATGAAGAAAAGGAATCGGATGGTGCCCCGTCTATGAAGACCCAGGATATGTTTGACATGGTGGAAAACGTAAAGAGGGTTTCAAAAATGAAGATCGAAGATGTTTCCCAAAGGGACATGATTAATGGTTGTAAGTCGGCCGAATATGTCGCTGAAGAGGCCCAAACGTTGACAGAGTTCGAACCAGGTATGGTCCAAAGTCCTAAAAAGATAGTATCGGCTAACAATCATTGCAAACCTTGGATGTTGCATTTCCCACTGGAGAAGGCAGATGGAGAGGTGTTCGATGTTGTCATTCAGCACGTTGTGGTGAATCAACCAATGCTATGTTGGGTCGTTTTGCCAGACCACGAATCCCAATGCAACCAACTGCTGCGTGACATTAACGTTCAGATCGATCCGAGTGCTAAACCGGTCAAGTACGACGATATCCAGGTGGATGATGTCTACACGGGTCTCTATGAGGACCTCTACTATCGGGTGGTGATTTTGGAAAAGGTATGTTAGTTACTTAAACTTATTTTTTATGTTTTGTGCTAACGTAGGCTGCTTAGCTGTAGGCTGTTCGAGTTGCTAGAACTTGCAGATTGTTTCTAACAACTCTAAGATGCTCCAAGTTGCAGTACCTAGAGCAAGGCTACTTAATGAACACGTAAACGTACTGTACATCGTGTAATAACTGTCTTTTTAGATTGACCCCGCAAGATCTCTAGTTAGAGTTCGATTGATAGACTACGGCAACGAATTGACTCTGCCGGCTTCAGACTTGCGTGCTCCTCTTCCGCGGATGAAGGATCTTCGTGCGTTTGCGTTTCTGATCGAGATTCAGAATCTGAACCGAACTTTCGAGCCAAACGCAGTCATTCGGATCAGCCTCATTCGTTCGGAGAGCGATCGCAAGATAGTGGAAATGGTTCTGGCACCTGAGAGTTTGTTGGATTTGCTAGGGAACTCGAACGAGACTACCGGAGAGGGTGGAATTGTGGCCATTCTTTCTTCTCGAAAAGCATTAATCTTGTTCTCTTCTGCACCGGTGATGCATATCATGAAGGTGTTGTATACTCAGCTGGCGGAAGAAGCTGCCATGTTCCCTTCGGCAAAGAATTCCGAAGTTGGGGATTTGATCTGTGTGAACTCGATCGAATTTGGCTGGTCAAGAGCTTTGATCATCGACCAACACGACGACAATCGATTGGTTTATACTATTGATAATGGAACAGTGGAGCTGGTAAGTGCACAAGATGTTCGCAAATTACCTGCCAAGTATAAGCATAAGCCGCGGCTGGTGTTGGCCATGGAGATAACCAAGGTGGTTATGAACGAACAGGACTTCATGCGTATGTGCTATATGCCAAGCTTTGAGTTCACTTTTGAACGATTGTCATTCAACAAGGCTCAGCAAACGATGAAGTGTACGATGAAGGACGGCAAAGGAAAGTTCGTTCTTGCGGAAGTTGACTTCATGGACTTTGAATGTGATTTGAAGAAGGTTGGGATCGACTACTGGCCACATACTCCTCAGGACAAAATGATTGTGAGAATTTTATCCGCTCTAGACGTAAGCACCATAGTCATATGTCCCAAAGACAGTATTAATGTTTACACTGAGCTGCTTCAGACGGTGATACCGAATTTGAAACGCTTGACAGCAGTTCCGAATGTGAAGGACGTAATCGTTGCTATGGACGATTGCATGATGCCTTATCGAGCACGAGTCCTTTCCATTGTTTCTTCGACGGAAGTAGAGGTCTTGGACCTTGACAATGGGAAAATCAGAAACACTTTCACAGAGAAGCTGTTCGAAACTAACGGGTTTGTGAATAACCTGCCTGTGTATACTTTAAAAGTACGCATTCTGGATATGAACGTGTCCGCGATCAAAGATCAGGTTTGTGTTCTTCGTCAACTGGATGCATTCAAATCTGAGAAGCGTGAATTCAGGACGCACTTCGAGGGCAGGTCGTACATGTACGGAGTAAAGCTGATCGACGTGAGTACGAATCGCTCGCTTGCTACCATCCTGCTGGAGCACCATGACAAACAGCTTCACGAAGTTGAAAAAGCAGTCACAAAGAAGCGAGAACAGGATACAGAAGCCGCTCGTCTGAAAACCATCGATGCTGCTGCTGAAGTCAAGGCCACAGCCCAAGCAGCAGCCGCAAAAGCTAAACAGGAACGGAAAGCCCGTGAAGCCACAGAACTCAAAAAAGCGGAAACAGTTGTCGCACCATGGGTGTTCACTATCAATGATCTTAAACTGGTTGAGCTGCCTGTGGGAAAGAGTGGCATAAAGTTAACCATTCTGGATGATGCTAATCTGGCTCATGGAGTAGTAACCGTCTTTGAATTTACGGATGAGAACATCAAACGATATACAACCCTGAACGATAAGGTCAACGAGGAGGCTGCCAGAGTTGGTGGTGACGGATACTGTCCGAAGTAAGGATAAATTGCGCTATTTTTACCTGACCATAAATAGACTAAAATTATCTGTAGATTGGACGAACTATGTATTGCCGTGTTCGATGACGACAAGTTGTGGTACCGAGCAGTATGCTTGCAGGCCGAACCGGAGAAGGACGTATTCATGGTACAATTTATCGATTTTGGCAACCTGGCATCGGTGAACCGCGAATCGATCCGCAGTCTTCCGAAGGAACTCGCTTTTCCCTGTGCAGCGCACACTTGCACTGTTATTGGTAAACTTTTCAAATTTTGTTTTGTTTAAGGAAATTTTCAACATCGATGTTGTTTTTTTTTTTATAGATCACATTAATGTTATGAAAACGCTGGTCAAAAAGCAGGCATCGATGGGTTACGTGGTGGCCCAACATATCGTATCTAATGAAGAACAGTATTCTTTGAAGTTTTAATTATCTGGCTTTGATTTGTTCCTTGCTGAGAAGGAAGCTTTTGAATGGATTTTTCTATAACTTTTTTTTTTTCAATAATTTAACATTTGACAAAATATTTCGAAGGATTTAATTTCGATCAAGTAAAGTAGTCAACATTCTACCGAATGCAGGAACTTTTATTTTTGTTAATATTTTTACAATTTCTCCATCTTCATTATAATTTAACTCCAATAAACGATCTGGAAACAAACTTTAATCTTATATGTTCACTGAGGCAAAGGAACGTTAGAATTTCATAAGAATCACTAATGAACGTTCCATTCGACAGCCATTACTCGTCCTATTCATCGGATGTGTGCTCTTTCTGCTCTGCTTAACTTGGTGAAATATTATAGCGAAAATGAGTGTAGTTCGTAAAAACACGCTTGTTGTTGACTTCAGTGTCCTTCCAGTTCGTCCCAATGCGGGAAAAGTGCAAAAATTCTTCGGGAACAATATTAAGCTTCAATATTCGGACGTTATATACATTCAGTTTCATAACGTCCGAAATTGTGTTTTTATTGAGATGATAGACAATGTAGTTGCCTTGCACTATGAAAAGGCGCACAACTATAAACACGCGTCTCTCTGTGCGAAGAGTGAGTTCAAAATCCCGGTATATGTCGATTGTGAAGCAGTGACCGTTCGAGTACATGACCTTCCTCTGGCATGGCCACAAGCCTCTGTTATGAACCACATGACAAAGTACGGGACAGTGATTGCCAGTCGACATGAGAAATGGAAGCACTACTTCCCAGGATTCCTGAGCGGTGTTCGAGTTTTGCGAATGCGACTCGAAAGCACCATTCCATCATACATCACGGTCGACAAGCAACCAAAAACGTGCCGCCATTGTGGCCGAGCAGTACATCCCAAACAGAAATGTTTGGATCATGGTGGGTATACACATGGTGATACAGCTTTGTCACTATCTGGGCGAGGAGATCGTGGGGTGGAAAAAGTTGGGTTTTAGTGCAAATTGTAAACAAACTCGGTCGCTGTCCCATACAAAAATCCAACATGGCTGAATCATTAAGTTGACACATTAGGCCACCTATATGTAGTCACCTTGGTTTGGATGTAGCCACATCGAACAATAGCACCGCTCCAGCAGCTCCACCAACCGAGCGGGTATTCAGTCTCGCTGATTTCCCGTCGATGGATATCGAACAAAACCAGCCAACGACATCGGGTCAATCATCTCCTGCTTTCACCGGGTTCTCAACAGAAGAACAACGGCGAAACACCGACAATCAAACCAACCGGTGAACACTCGTGTTTATTTCAGTTACCGTGGGGACGTTATTTGTGATTAGCCCCGGTCCCTTTCAAATTGTATCATTATTTATGTACGGTCCTTATATTTGCACTGACGTTTCACATTCATCTAGTGATGGCCGATTTTCATTCGAATAATTGATTAATCGATTATCGAACCGAAAAGTAAAATATTTGTAATCGGTTATATGTGCCGATATAAGCATTAACATCTCCAGAGCATCATCACCGATCGTTTCAAACATGTGCTGTGCTCTCATTGGTGGAAAAATGACAGCACAGCGAACAAAATATAATCGATTAGTTGTTAATCGAGTAATTACAAAATGGGACATCTCTGATTTTGGTGTGTTTGTTTTGATAAAAATGAGCGCAAAATTTCATCTCTACCGAGGGGGCAGCAAAACCACAAAATTACCTTGAATACGGGGGGTATTCATTGGATGAAAGGGACCGTGAAAGAGGACACTAAAATAGAAAGTTTTTCTTCCGACAGTTTCATCTTAGTATTCATCTTTGATAAGGTCTTGCATACCTTGCTTTACCCAGTTACGGTGCGCTAGTACTCGTACTCTTGCATCATTTGCATTCTTGATGATAACTCTCACCATGGCCTCCATTTCTTCGTCCGACCCGTAATTACACAATTTTGCTGCTGATCCTACACGCCGAACAAAATTGACGCTGCTTTCCGTATCCATCTGACTCATCATCATGAGTTTTCCCCGTTGGGATAGAGTGTAGGTCCTTGATCCGTAGTAATCATTCAAGCGAGCCATAGCATTCGAAAACGGTTGGGTCTCCTCATCAGGCATTCCTGGGACAGAAGATGTTGCTTGGAATATTTCACGTAGTTTTAGTACCGACTTTATCTTAAACACACCGAATTTTGTTTCTTCATCTACAGCGTTAATAAGCTGAAGAGAAGAAACAAGGATATCTTTCCAGTATTCAAACGCCTGTTTGTCTATATCCGCTTCGCCAGATGACGGAACACACTCTGGAATGTTGAGTGTGCCCAATGTCCAGTTGTTCATTTTGGCTAGCATCAAAGAATCTTCACGTGAGCTAGCCTGATGAAATCCACTTCCGAATCCCTGATCCGCGTCAGCGGAAAGTCGTGCTACTTGTTCTCGCAAAGTATTGTTCTTTTCGATGGCCTCCGTTAGTTCTCTCAAAATACGGTTTTTTGAAATCTTTCTGCAACAAAACAGTTGAAATAAAAAATTCTCTATACGTTACTTTAATGGATGATTGGGGCTCCGTCTATCTCCACCGGAACCCAGTATTCTGCAAAACTCTACCCTCCTGCATCAGTTTTTTTTTTATTATTATTATTGTTGTCCGTCTTTTACCACCGGATGCACAAGCTATTGGGCGTTTCGTCTATCTCCACCGAAACCCCAGATACTATTATCATTTTGTTTAAACTTACTTTGGGGGAGCCGTTGGTTCATTTGCCGCGCCATTGTCGCGACCGGCTGGACAATCGAACCCAGGCAGATCTGCCATATTCTTTGGTTTGGATGATCCGGCCGCAGGTTCCTCGAAAATCTTTACTAACAGGCGAGAGCGATGTCACTCGCTTACTCGACTTATTGTCGGATGCCGCTACGAAAAACAGCCAACTTCTACCCTGGTCTGCTTCTACTGGATCGTTGCCGACAAGCGAGAGCGATGCCACTCGCTTACTCGACTTATTGTCGGATGCCGCTACGGGAAACTTCTACTGCATCGTTGCCGACAAGTGAGAGCGATGCCACTCGCTTACTCGACTTATTGTCGGATGCAGCTACGGAAAACAGCCAACTTCCACCGGTGCTCTGCTTCTACTGGATCGTTGCCGACAGGCGAAAGCGATGCCACTCGCTTACTCGACTTATTGTCGGATAGGTGCTGGTGCTGCTGTTGTTGTTACACTGCCGCTGGTTACTACTGCTGCTGGTTAATACTGCTGATGGTTACTGCTGCTGGTTACTGCTGCTGCTGTTGTGGCTTGTACCGCATCTGCCGAAAAGGTCCGTGAGCGCACTTTGACTTAAATGATCTATATTTCTTGAATTTGTGTGGTTTACATGTATAACTTATCAAGTGACACAGATGCGTCTTTTCAACTTTAGTTCCTGTGAAATTTCAATTATTATTAATTACAGTTCCTAGTCCTATCAGGCCTGTTTTAGAGAATGACCACCTTGGTGGGATTGGTTTGCTTGAAAATTTGAAAAAGAAGACTACTTATAACTACTATTTACAACTACAACTAACCTACAACTACTATATACACCTAATCTACTATATACAAATTGCTTATCAAAGCATGTTCTGATAAATTACATTTTTGTGCAAATTTAGTCTTAATTTCGTTAATTCTGGAATCTATTTTGGCAATGCCTGCCTCTTCGTGTAAATTTGTTATTCTAGTGTCAAAAGGACGATCAAGTACCATCCTCAGCACTCTATTCTGAGCGACCTGGATTTTGTTCCTGTGAGTCTGAGCACATGATTCCCACACCGGAGCTGCGTAGAGGATCGCAGGTGCTATGATTTGTTTGTAGACGGCCAGTTTGTTCACCCTTGAAAGGCGGGATCTGCGGCAAATCAGCGGAAACAGACACCTAACCAAGGCAGAACACTTGACTACTGTTTTCTCTACATGCGAACGGAAGAGGAGCTTTTCATCGAACAACATCCCGAGATAGGTTACTTCGGCGGACCACTCAACCCTTGTGCCATCCATGATTACAGTACAAGATGGAGCCGGTTTCAGTTTGGGCATTGCCGATGGAGGAACATGATCGCTTGTGTTTTGGTGGCATTGATTTTGATTTTCCACGTGGTGGCATAATCAGCAAAGGCGTTAAGGCATCGTTGAAGTTTGTTCGTTATTTCGCGAGGCATCCTTCCTTTGACGGCTATTGCGGTATCATCTGCGAACAGGAAAAACACGCAACCGTCGCCGAGGGGAGGAATGCCGGAAGTGTAAATGCTGTAAAGCAAGGGGCCCAGCAGACTACCTTGCGGGACTCCTGCTGGGATCGAAAACGTGTCTGAGAGACAACCATTCAACGATACCTTAAACGACCTTTGCTGGAGGTAGTTACGGGTGATTTTAATAAGATGTAAAGGAAAGTTGAAGTTACAAAGCTTGTACACAAGTCCATCATGCCAAACATTGTCAAACGCCTTTTCAACGTCTAACAAGGCCATGGCTGTGGACTTGGATACAGCTTTGTTACTTCGGATGTTATTCATCACCCGTACTAGCTGGTGATTGGTGGAGTGCCCCTTTCTGAACCCAAACTGTTCCGGAAGGAGAATGTTATTTTCCTCGACAAACTTGAGCAAACGATTGAGAATGAGTTTCTCGAACAATTTGCTCAGCGCTGAAAGGAGGCTGATTGGTCTGTAGCTTGAAGACAATGTTGGATCCTTACCGGGTTTGCGGATCGGTATGATTTTTGCTACTTTCCAGATGCTTGGAAAGTAGTGCAGTTCCAAACATCTGTTGAAGATAGCGGTTAGAAGAGACTGCACTTTCATGCTGAGTCTCTTCAAGATCAAGTTGAATATACCGTCAAACCCGGGAGCCTTCATGTTCTTGGTGCATTTCAGCGCTGAGCAAATTTGTTGTACTGTAATCATATCCGCCGGAGGCACGACACAAGGGGAGGCATCTAGGTTTTGAACGCATTGCGCAACCTGATCATCGAGTGGACTTTGGATAGTCGAGCCAAGCAAATGCGATGAAGCGACATGCTTGCCGATCGCATTTGCTTTCTCCTGTGGGGTAATTAAAAGCCGATCGTCATCATTTTCGACTTTGAGAGGTGGAACGGGTTTGGGATGATTTTTCAGGACCTTGGCTACCTTCCAGAATGGTCTGGAGCGGTCGTCCAGATTCTGGACAACACGCCCGAAACTTTCATTTCGGAGTGAGTCCATTCTGGAAGCAATCTGCCTGTTCAGATCGGCCATTTCACGTTTTTTGCCCAGGTCTCCAGTCCTCTGAAACTGGCGTCTACGCACATTTCTCAATCGAATCAATAATTGGGTGTGGGAATCAATAGCAACAAACTTACCCCTCACAGGAACTTGTCGAACGCATGTCTCGTCAGCCTCGGATATGGCCTGTTGGAGTCCTTCCAACGCCCGGTCGATGTCATCTACGGTGTCGAGCAGTGGATTTTTATCGATGTTGCTGTCCACCATTCGACCGTACTGCACCCAATTGACATGGTGGTAGTCTTTACGCAGGCAGCCTCTAGCAGGAACCACGTTGACACCGACTTCAGTCACCACCGGTTGGTGGTCGGAGCTGAGATCGTTGTGCGCCTCCGGCTTAGATAGTCCGATGTTTGACAGGAAAAAGTCTAGCGTGGAGGGATTTCCCGCCGGAGAGATGAAAGTTGGTTCGTCCGGAAATTGCACTGTGTACAGTCCATGTTGTGCGTGGTCGAACAATAGACATACGTTTCGGTTCCTCTGGTAGTTCCGCCAAGCTTCATGGCGGGCGTTCAGGTCGCCCCCAACGATGAATCGGGAGCTAGTACGGGTGATGGCGGTCAGGTCTTTCTTGAATTGGATTCCTAATCCGTTGCTTCCGGTACACTGGCGTGGGCAGTAAACAGCGATGAACCGGACGTTTCCAGTTGGTGATTCCACCTCCACACTAATGGCCTCGATGATAGAAGTGCGGATGTGGGGCAGAGTGCAAAACTTGATTCCCTTTCTGACGATGACCGCTACACCACCCCCCCTGGAGCTGGTGCGATCAAGCCGGATAATGTTGTGGTCAGGCAACCAGAAGCTGTCACCGAACTTTAGGTGGGTTTCGGTTAGAAGACCCACGTCGATGCTATGCTTGCGGAGGAAGTCGGCAAGCTCAATCTGTTTAGCTCTTACAGAGCAAGCGTTCCAGGTAGCGATGGTTAGCGGTTTAGACACCATATTGGATGATGAACTTACCGAGCACTTGGATCTGTTCGGGCTTATTGCGGCACTTACGTAGAGCACCGGTCATGTTGATAAAAATCTCCATCAGTTCGTCTGCTGAGAACAGATCGGGATTGTTTGTTTGAGCTGTTGGTTGCCTCCAGAATCCAGGGGGAGATGGAGAGCTTTGTCCAGCAGAAGATCCAGACGTTTCTTGAGGGGACGTGGATCGCACCCTGGGATTCGCTTGTCCACGAAGAGGTGGAAAGTCCTCTGTCCTGAAAGCCGGGGCCTTATCCTTCCTTCGTGCTGGTTGATTGTTGGTGGACGCTTGATTTCGGATGCGCTTGAAATCCTCGCGTTTAGGGCACTGCTTGTTGGATCCTTGGTGAGCACCACCACAGTTGGCGCATTTGGACGCCACAGCTTCATCCGCAGCACATTCGGAGGTGGCATGGTCTTGAGCGCAATTTCCGCAGCGTGGCTTAATGTTGCAGTTGCGGGTACCGTGTCCGAAGTTCAGACACCGCTGGCACTGAGTCACATCGCGATGGCCGCCACGGTATGGCTCCCAGCGAACGATGATGGAATTGATGGACCGGATGGCTTTCAGTGCGTTGAGCGTCACCGTTCCCTTCTGGAAGTGTACCAGGAAAAGGCTATCCGGATACGCCTTCACATTCTCGTCTCTTCTTGTCATTCGATACACGGCACTTGGGGCCAGCTTGTACCGGTCCCTGATTTCTGATTCGATAAACTTCGGGTCGAAGTTTGGTAGGCCCCTGATGACGACCTTGAACGGCTTCTCACCGGGAATGTCGTGGGTAAAGAATTCCACCTTGGAAGTCCTCAGGTGGGTGACGACCACGTCAAACTCCGTTTTGGTACGGAGCATCACTTTAGTGCCGACTCTGCCCAACTTGTATTCGGCTTTAACACCCAGCGTCGCTAGATCCGCAATGAGCACATTAAGATGGGCATTTTTCACTACCAATGGAGGTAGCTTCACTTTTGCCGAGCTCATTTCGGCAGTATTCACGGTTTCGGCAGCGTCACCGAAATCTCCAACATCGCTGTTGTTCGTCGCAGTGACATCGGACTGGCCTCGATTCTTCTTCCTCTGTTGATAGTTGATAGTAGTATGCTTTCATCTACTCCATCTATCGTATAAAAATTACCACTACAGTCTGTTATTTGAAATTAGCATCTTCAACTATGTAAATCGTTGACTTCACGTAGAAGTAATACTAAAAACATATAGTCAAAAAAAAAAAAATAATAATATTGTTTACACAGCATTCGGTAAAAATTATATTTCACTGAACAAATCCAGCAAAAAAAGTATTTACCGAAAAAGATTTAAGAAATTTAAGTTCGTTGCCAGTGAAACATATACATGAAAACTTTGTTCGGTGTAGTAAAAGAACTGCCAAACGAGGGGTGATTGCTTGGTTTATTTTGTAAATAAAATCTTTTTTTTTGCCTGAAAAGTGGGTAAAATAATATTGTATTCGAGAATAATTATTTTAAAGGCACTTAAAATTTCTTGATTGTATGGACACTATAAGGTAAGCTTATTCAAATCTATCAAACATGAACCAAACCGGTTTAATATGAATCATGCTTTACAGAGATAACATACGTAAATATGCACTCGGCAGTCAGGAGGATAACTATTGCCGGTTGTGCTTTGCGAAAGCGTTTAAGCTACGGAACGTCTTTCCGTACGGTGATGACCCAAACAATGAACTGTATCGTAAAGTTTGCACCCTAGCTCTGGTCAAGCTAGACCAAAAACTAGAACCAGAATGTTGTGTTTGCTTCCGCTGTATAACACAGCTAGAGGAGTTCGGCAAGTTCCAGCGCCAATGTGGGGAATACAATCGATTGCTGTACCAAGCTCGAGGTCAAGATGAGCCACAGCATCCAGTGGCGGCTATATCGGCTTCAAATTTGTCTCTACTGCAAAGTGAAGGCAGTAGTGCATCGATTCCAAAAAAACCGGATGTGGATCCATTTGAATCGTCCGCTCAACATTTGGAAGAGAATGGTGTTGGAAGGAAAATTAAACGGCGGACCATGGCTCCGAAGCGGTATTCTCCTACGATTAAGAAATCGGGACGTAAGGCTGTGAAAAAACCCAAGCAAGAATCTGATTCAGAAGAGAGCTTTGTAGAAGATACAAGCGATTCGGCTGACGATTATAAGCCTGCGAAAAGAAAACCTACAATGAGCAAACGTTCGACTAATTCTCCAGTATCGAAAAAACGCGTACGGAGATCGAAAAACGAAAGCATGGATCGGTCTTTGTCGGCAGGTTCAGAAACTGGACGATCGAAACGCAATCGGTCCAAGACCAAGGTAAGTGTTTTATTTGGGGCGGGAATTGGAACATGGATAACGAATTATAATTGCAGGTGATAACTTCAACTGACTTCATCGTCTACAACGCTGGACATGGAAGTATCAACATAATGGCTGGTGGATACCGTTACTACAAGTATCGTTACTATAAAACAGGATCGGAGGTGCGTTACGGATGGCAATGCATCGAGCAGGACTGTCCTTCTCAGTTATATACAAGCAGTTTTACGAAACATAAAATTTACTGGAGGGATAAGTACTACGAGCATAACCATCCCTCGGACAATGTGGAGGAACTAATGTCCGCTAAAGTGGAAGATACAGCACAAGAAGAGCACGAGGAGGATTTCGGAGATTACGAACTGCTTACCACCGGTCGCGGAAGGCATACCTATAAACTGATGAAGTTTCCCAATGGAAGGGAAACAGTGATCTACGGTGACCATCGGCATCGGTTACTGATCGAGCGGGTAAGTTGAATAGTTTCCAACAGGGCACACAAGCGCATTCTGTACTGATAACTCTTTGTTTGCATGTGTGCATTATGTATTAGGCGGACGAAATGAAAATATTTGGATGCACCAGTTCGTCTTGTAAATCGGTGGTCTACATGTCTAAGGATAATGAATTGCGAATCTTTTGCGGTACTTTCACCAGCACCGAAGTAGCAGCTGACTCGACATACCGAAAGACTTCTAAGGTAATATTGTACGAAGGCCATCACTTCATTTACAGCGGAAGAAGGCTTGAAAATAGGAAGTGCTCGGTTTACCATTGCTTCATGCGGAAGACCCTCGATTGTCCTTCCATAATCTACTGCACCAAAGATGACACAATCATCACACTGCAACACCAAGTTAGACTTCCCCATAATCACACACCCGATGTTGTCAAGCTTGAAGAGGGAATGATGGTCGTCGAGGCACAAAAGGAAGCCCTTCCGGTAGAATCGAAGGATTACCATATCGCGAAAAACACACTTAGGACCGATTTCATCATATTCGAGGGCTTACGTTACTCCATTTCGAATACCAGAGTCGACGGCACAAAAACCTGCCGTTGTCTAGAAGCTGAAAACTGTGCGGGGTATATCTTCCTGCTACCCAATGGAACGATCGTCAAGTACAACACCTTTAACGAACACAGCCATCCGCTGCCCGATACGCCCAAGAGTATTTACGAATTTGACTACATCATCGAAACGCAAGACGTGTCTTCGAAAAACAGCGAGGGTACACTCCACCGATGGTACAAGGACTTTGAATACAAGCGAGATTACAATAAAGAGCAAGGATTTTTCTACTACCGATGTGTAGAAAGGAACAGTGGATGTTCAGCGGCATTCCTTACTAACGAGGACTTTAGTTCCGTCAGAGAAACCTTCCAGCAGCATAATCATCCCAGCCCGCAGATCGAAAAGGAACAGCGTAAAAGTATGATAACGGTTGATGGCACCATGAACTACACGATGGACACGAACGTTGATGGTCACGAGATATTGAAGCACCAGGGCAATCGGTACTGCCATTTCTACAACCACAAGGAGGGATGGCGCGTATGGCGATGCTTCGGTACTGCTCGCTGCCGGGCAACGCTTTTTCAAGATCCTTCTGACGGCAAGGTTAACGATGTGGAAAGATTTGCTCATGGCCATAAAGATCTCCAAAATAGCAACGAGACTAATGAAAGCGTTACTGTAAAGGAGGAAGAACCGGACATGGATTCCGATAGCCGGGAAAGCGCGGATTGGTTTTGAGAGAATGTGGAAAATGAGTTGACTATCGATTATTATTGTTAAGGTGTTTCTTTTTCCAATTAAATGTATAACGATAACAGCGGTAGAATTTTTTCAATTGTTCAGTCCCACGAACGTGTCCGAACATTTACCGGGATCCTGATGAATGTTGGCGTGTCTAGGGTAGATGAAGGCAATAAGGTCCCTCTAACAAAAACGTATCATAAAATATGAAAAACATTCCTATATGTTATGCTAGCTATGTCAAACTCATGCTTTGGATTATGTTTGATGATATACAGTGTATAGAGTATGGATAAAGTATAATATACTCATTAAATTCATATGACTAGTTTTTGCTCCGATCAACAACCATACGGGGTACGATGGGCCACCACACGCCTGCAGTTTATTGAACATCAGTGACATGAATCATTAATAACTTTGTCTTTTGCATTTAATCGAAAAGTGATTTACAACAAAGTTTTAGCTGAGAAAATTTGCTTCAAGCACAGCTATCATTTTTTAAACCAGAGCAGCAGCATGGTGAATTGTTAGATAGATATGAACAAACTAAATGAGTTCAAATTTTGGAGGCTAATCAGGACCCAATTTGGAACCGTTTGAGCATTGTGGAGCAAAACTTTCAAATTTTGCATCACTCACTCTAATGAGCACTCCAGTAAAAGCTAACGTTTTGACAGGAGATTGAGTTAATAGGTAATATGCCCATACGACCGGGGCCAATCTCGACCTGTATGGTCTTCTTGCCTCCATCTACCCTATCCCAACGGTTTACATAGAAATTATTGTTTTTCGTCACTCTACGACAAAAAAAAATGCACAGGGAGGTTCGGACAAGAATGAAGAAAGCAGTCAAGCCAGTTCAAGGAGCTTATAGCCAGTGTGGATATTCAATGCAATAGATACAAAACTATCACTATTTTGGAATTATGTACAAGTTGGAGCTTCATCCCGGGAAACAACGATGATATAATTTATTACAACGAAAAATAGTTCGGTCCAATTAAAATACATAAGTTTGTCAGCAATTCGATCGGTACTTACCGAATGTAAAAATCATATATCTTAATTCGCACTGTTGCTATCGGTCAGAATAATCGTCGGCATCATGATTAGGAATATGGTGGTGGTCACGATCAACCCAATGGTCGAGTTCAGATTGAACAAATTCCCATAGTTATAGCGGCAGTACCAACAGTAAGAAATAGCCACGGAAAAGATTAACGTACCGATATAGATAAAGTATGTCCCATACCGGGTGTGATTATCACGCCCGGTAGATCCCCCAGCAAGACCTCCACCGGTAGCGTATCCAACTCCATCGTTAGTTCCATTATCTCCTACCGAACCGGTACCACTGCCATTGCCATCTCCCGTTCCCTGTTGAGGTTTGGGATTATGTATCAGACAGTGCACGACACAGTTGTCGAACAGGCCACATGCAGCCAAAGTCTTCGAATCCGGCTGCAGGACATGACCGTTGAACACCAACCGAACCAGCTTCTTGGCTGTTATTTCGATTGTGAAATTTCGCCTAAAAAGAAATCGGAATTTTGAGAAGTTGTCGATCATGAAACAATTTCGTCAAAAACACACTTTTTAAATTCACCAATCCCTTCGTTGAGGTTACCCTCCACCAGCTTGGAATCGTCGTTCAAGTATTTTAACTTTATTCTAATCTGCTTTGATTGCAGTTGCTCTTTTGGTTTGTCCGTTGCACTACTGACCGTAGATGCGGCACCCGAGGTTTCTTTTTGAGCAGTTTGACTCTGAGTACGGTTTCTTAGTCCATCAGTTCCGCCACTCTGAGTTCCCGACGTTGATGCCGGTGTGTCATCCAAATCACGGTCCATTTGGCGTATAATATCTTCAGGACCGAGATCTACTTCGTCCAAACTGCTTCGACCTCCCACTCCCGATGTACTGGGATAGGTTTCGGAATCGCTGATGTCTAGCCCCGTAGCCGATTCCGACGCCTCCGTCAAGATGGACTGTGTTATATTATCAATTGACGATGCGATGCTGTCGTTTTCCAAGTCTAATTCTTCCGTTTCGGTCACGTTGGAGATATTAGACTGTTGTGACGAGCTTCGAACTGAACACGTAGAATCAAATTAACAATAACTTCGGCTATAGATTGCACTGCATGTTACTTACGAATGTTGATAGTGACCGGTTGTTGAGTGATCCGATTCAGCCGTCTCAGGTTGTTTTCAATGACTAGAACAGCGGCTTGCGAGTTGGGACGATCCTCCCGTACATATGTCGAGCGCCACGCAAAGTACACCACGATCAGTGCCAAAAATCCAAACGTCCAACTGTTAAGAAACTCTTCCGATTCCTCGAAAAATGGCAACATATTAATCATTGTATCGATGCAGTACTTCGCGTTCTGCCACCCGCCGCAATACGCACACTGCCGTGCCGATCGATGTTAAATGCCTCTACCTATCCACGACACAACTAATTTAAGAAATCCACTTTTGAAGTGTCACCTTGCGTGACCATTCTCTGAAGGAAGAAACACAAAAGAATGGAAAAGAACCACCTTTTAATTTCTTAATAAACATTACCATGAACAGATGTTTCAATGTTACAATGTAGTGAACCAGTAAATGACACTTTAAATCTCTTCGAGAACCATTTAATCCTCATTTGCTTACTCTAATCACCAAAAGGGTTTTGACGACATTTTGATAAGCAAAAATAGTGCATACATAAACAAACAAACTTACATAATCCTATTTTTGTTTACAAAAACATAAACAGCGATAATACCACAACAATTAAGATGGCCTAGAACCGAAAAAAAACAAATACTCAACTTGATTACAGTCGAAAACCCAGAAAACTTTTATTTTACTTTTCTCTACCAGCACCACGCAAATTAGAAAACAAAAAAAAATTGCTAAATTTGCATCTGACGTTTCCACTCGCATGAACGCCAGCAGATGACGGACATGATGACACGAACACAGGCAAAATCGAACTGTTACGAACGTCGAAGCAAAAGCAACACGCAATAACTACCACAGTACACGCTAACTTGAAAGTACCCATTTAATGAGTATCTTTAACTCTTTTTTGGAATCCATACTATGTTGTCAAAAAATGGGTATTTTCCAAAAATGAAAAATGGTTACTTTTTATTCACTTTAAAAAATGACTTCATGCAATAAAAATGAGTAAACACATTATTGTTATTTTGCATTTTGGAAACATGTAGAAAAAAGTCACGGCTCAAGAGGATACGCGAAGGAAACTCGAACGGTAGTTTGATTGTGCTAGCAGATTCCATCTGGCCGGTATTAATTCGGGTGAAAATAGTGCGCCGGATAGAAGTCTCACCAAGCAAACCGAGGTGATTTTCACGAGGTAAGAGCTAGAAATCAAACTAGAAGTGTGATGTGTTCCGTTCTCAGTTCCGTTTCAGGTTAGCGAAGTGAAAGTAAAGGAGATTGCCTTTAGCTTCGATTAGTGGAGACTGGCGAATGAGTGCTAATTTTACTGGGTAGCCGTGGAACCAGTGGAATTTAATCGAATATCAGGATGGTTTGGCAATGGAAGACAGTGACGAAGGTTGAAATCGGAACAGCCGGAACCGAGGCCGGAACAACCTTTTCTCGTTTAAAGGGTGGCAGGTTACAATCTGTAACACATATTTTATTATATTTTAGAGCAATATAAAAGATTATTATTTTTTTTTCTTTTGACTACTTTTAATATTTGGTTAAATTATTTACGGCAGGAAGCCCATAAAATAATTTTGTTGATAAAATGGGTATTTTTTATTCATCTCCAGTAAGAACATGAAAGCTAAAAAGTACCCATTTTTTGAAGTATGTATCAAATACTCATTAATGAGTAATATTGGGTTTACTCATTTAATGAGTTAAGCCACTTTTCTTAGAAATGGGTCTTTTTTTACCCATTAATGGGTACTTTCAAGTTAGCGTGTAGACTGTATGCGGTGGTAGCAATACGAGGGGCTACACAATAATTGTATTAAGGTGATTCCTTGTAGAGTCCCCAAATGGCCGCTACGTATCCAGCATTTTACGATCGCTTATGGCCGCCACAATCTGACTGAGTTTCTGGTAGGGAACATAAGATTTGAAGTTTAGCTTGTGTTGTGTCAAATTTAATCGTTTACACGTCAAACGACACAACCCAAACGTCAAATCATATGTTCTCTACCAAAAACTCGGCTAAATTGTGGCGGCCATAAGCGCTCGTAAATTGCTGGATACATATAGGCTATACATGCACTTTCACTTCGAATTTTCAGTGGAGTGGTGGTGGTGAATAAGGATGTCACAGCGATTCACCTTAAACGCATTGAGAATTAATAATGTTGACAGACTGCATATGAAATTCATGAAACTGAGCATTAAAACACAATTTTCATCAATCCTGCAAAATATCCTTCCAATACAACCTTCAAATTGTGTAGGAAAAGTCATTCCGATGAGACTGATGTGCATATTTTACTTTTCCAGTTAGATTTTTATACGAAACATTCATTTCATTTCACGACACCGGCTATTACAAATTTTATCGGTTACACCATCTGATAGCTTCGTTTTCTGACCACAAAGATATTTTTTTCGAACCTATAGACGTTCATCTCGATTTTTAAATCAAGATTTAAAGCAAAATAATAACTTCACTGTTTGACACTAAACATACAAATTGACAGCTCGCTCCCATACAAAGTCCCACATAGGGGTGCTAAGATGGTATTTTTTCCAATGTAATCGTGAGATTACGAATATGAAATTACCTCAATACCCCTAAAGAATCCAATTGGGCTGTTTACACACTTTATCTAGCTCGCTTAAATTTCCAACAGCCGGATTACCTGATATCTCTGCAAAATGTTATTTGTTAGCAGAGTCTCGGCAATTGTTTTACTGAATCTCAGCAAAATAAATTGCAGAACTGCTCGGCTGTTGGAATCTCGGTTAAAAGATTTAAGTGTGTAATGTAAAATATACCGATTTTTATTCATCATCTGATAGATATTTTTATCGATCCAGTAGAAATTCATCTCGATTTTTAAATCAAGATTTAAATCTATTCGTTGATAGCTCGCTCCCATGCAAAGTCCCACCAAGGGGTGCTAAGATGGTGATTTTTGCAAATTTAATCGTACGTTTTTTTATAAATAGTTCCAGTGATGCAATTTTGGATTTTGTTTCCATTTTTAATGCAGATAATGAATATGTATTTACCTCAAAACCCATAAACAACCCATCACACAAAAGATGTAAACAAAAGATAATTTCATAAATTGCCTAAAATAAAGATGATTTTCTAGTATGGTATCACCAACCGAGGGGGGCGTCACATTTAAATCTCAATTATAGATGCTCGAAAAATCTCACACTAGCAAACCAATCTACTAAAAATTTTCTTTCACTTCTCGCATCTACTTGCACCGCGCATCATCTTTTTGCAGGAAATCTTCAGAATCGTCATAAATCTTCTTTCTATCTACTAAGCGTGCGCGCAGCTAACCACACTAAAACAAAATCGTTTCCGCATCGTAGATAGAGTCGTCCCCCTCGTCACCAACCGGTGAAAACTAACGATTTTAAATTGGCTTACTACTTTACTAGCGTATTGGTCCCAAGTACATCTATAAGCGTACCCCATTCTAGTCGAAATTGTAATACTACACTATGTTTGTTTTCATTCGCTATGAAAGTTTGACAGTTTCGTGGAGTGGAAAAAAAAATAGGTGAGCCAAAAAGTTGAGCACGTTTCTTCAGGACCTACTAGTCTTAGAGTTACCTCTATGCCGAGCTCTATGCTTCAATGGCACAATTGAAACATACCAACTTTATTGTCGCGCTTATGTTAAATCTCATGTTAAATTCTCATTTGGTGACGGTCGAAGCGTGCCGCTCATAAGCGCGCTGCAACCCCGCCCATAAGAATTATACACAGATGTGTAGCTTAGATAGTATTTTATGGCAGTGGCTTGAGGAGCGAATCCTGGATAAAAAGCCGCCGTGTGTTAAATCAATGGGCGCAGTCGTACGGCTATAAACAGAGAACAGATGGTATCCCAACTAACAATTTTAGCTGCAGATAAGCTTATACAGCCAAAATTTGCCTTATGCAGCTAATTTTTGCTTGTATAAGCTGGTCGGCAGCTAAAATTGTTTGTTGAGATAATCCCATTTTGAGAAATTATCCTGCCACACACATATCTTGGTGTCTTCGGTGCACTTATTCCTTATGATGCAAGCAATAACCCTAATAAAAAATAACCATAAACGAACGATAACCCAAATCATTGAACTATTCCACAAATGGTTTGGATGATACCCAGAACACGTCGTTAAGCAAATTAACCATACAATTTTTATTAGGGAAGTGCTCCCAAGATATCAAAACGATTTGACGGAAATGTGCACTTCTATCACACTTTTTGCATTTTTGGGACAATCCACTTTCAGATGCAATCAGTAATACTAGATGTTTCGACAAAACCTTAATTGGTGGTATCTTTCAATATTGATTTGTGTGTATTTTGAATGAATTAAAAAGAAACGGTGTCCCATTGAATAAAATAGGTGGAAACAACAGTTTGTCATCAATTGTTTTACGCAGGATTTCAATACCGCCTGGTGTATTCTTGTTCACGCAGAAAAATTTATTGTTGAAACAAAAATATTTGAGGTAAATTTAAACGTAAACTCAGTTTGTTCTGGCCACAAAAATAAACAAGGTTTATTTCAAACGTATTACATGTTTGAAGTCATGTAATATTAATGTTTAAAATAAAAATAATGTTACGTTTATTTTAAAAATATTCATATTGAAAATAAACGTGAATATTTTTGTTCGGTTTGACAACTATGCGAACAAAAATAAATATGTTTATTTTAAACATGCTTCTTATGTTTGAAAGAAACATACTTAATTTTAAATTATATAAGAATTTGAATGTAGGATAAAGCAAAAAAATGGATTGCCAAGAGACGAAAAAAAACGATCTGCAGGAAGATCCCGAATAGTTTGATTGCAATGTAGAATTGGAAATGCAGGAATCGGAAGAAGATGAGGATGATGAGAAACCGTTGGGTTCGGTAAGGAAGGAGGATGAATGCAGCACTGATTTTAGTTAGAAGTTGATCCAACATATTAGTGAGTCGAGTCAGGATTGTGTGAATATGATAAAGCTTGCTGAAGTTTCGAAGCGAATGGAAAGTGAGCGGAAAAATGTTGGAGCAATTACGGAAAGAGCAAGAACACAAGGCAGGTGCAAATGAGGAAGATGTTTTGGATCTGCTTGTGGCAGGAGAGAAGATCAAAGATAAAAGCTCGAAGCAAACAGGAAGAAATTACTTTATCAGAGGGGGGGCTGTAGGATCCGGAATAGATTCAAAATTCATTTCGGATTTTCGTTTCCCTTTGTTAAGACACTTACCTATGTGGGTTTCCGCAACCATGACTTCGGTTTTGCTGCAGGCCGTTTTCAGTTGATTGGCAAAGCTGGGGCAATTTTTTTTTCGAATGTAAACAAGAAGGAAAAAAGCAGGGCACGCTAAAAATCGTTTACCCAAATTCTATATTGTTGAAATAAACATGCTTTTGACTTTAATTCAAATATATATATTTTGGCTGCAAACATGTTTTTAATTTATTTTGAATTATTCATATGTTTATAGAATCAACATTTTTATTTTTGATTTAAATGAATAAAATTCGGTTCCGTGTTCAACTGTAAGAAAAGCATCATAAAATTGCTTGGCTCCCAATGACAGTTCGTGACAGTAGCCGTCTGGCTGCATTTGACGTTCCATTTTTCTCTCTTCGCGACTCTCCCTCAGCTGTATATGGACGATCAAATGTAAAATACTGTGGTAGCCACAGCAAACTCAAAATAATCGACACGTTATAGTTACGTGAAAAATCACGTAGAGTATCTCTTTTTGCTTTGTTGTAAATTTTACATGATCCAAGTAGAATCTATATGACACCACTTATATATGAAGGGAAATTCCATTTGAAGCCGCTACATTTTTTAATGAAGTTTACGTGATTTGCCCATACACACATTCAATGTGTGTTTCACGTAAACCCTAAGTGATTTTCACGTCTGAAAAAAATGAGTGACACTCATAGTTGTAAACAATATGGTGCAAGTTTAGTGGGTATATATATATTTTCATACCACTGTTACTTCAGATAATTGTAGATCTTACTTTTGTGGGAAAATCTAATGTGGTAAGTTTAATCAATTAAACATTTAAATAGAGAATAATTTAGTTTGTTTTGGTGTGAATACAGCAGCCTCATGCAGTTAGATCAAGTGCAGGATATGGGCATATGTATTACATATATGTGATCTCGTTCCCGATCCTTGTCCCGGTCGACTTTATTTCAATCTGGTTTTTATACCAATGTATATATTTTTAGACAAAATAAAAGCATATGCATAAAATAAGACTGGTTTTAAGCCTAATGTGAAATCAAGAATTCATTTTACTTAAATCGTGCCAGAATTAACATCATTATGAACCACCATGAGCTGTACTGAAGGAATCACGTAACTTCTATGTGATAATCCAGTGACGTTGAAGCTCACTCAAATGAGTGCTTCCATATGAGAATCACGTAACGTTTACGTGAAAAGTGCGATGGAAAAAATCTATGTATGTTTTCACGTAGCATTAAAGTGAAAATTATTTTGAGCGTAGGAAAACGAGATATCTTATGTGATTTTTCACGTAACTTTGACGTGTCGATTATTTTAAGTGCATCTTAGATACTAGAACTAGAAAGACTCAGAGGGAGAGATGGGCGGAGAGAATATTTTGAGCCAAATGAACTCTCAAAATCTGAGCCAAGCGAACATTCCCATTAGAATTTTTCCATTTTTCTGAGGATTTCTCGCGTCACTTTTCAAAAGTTCCTAAGTAACAAATGTAAACAAATCGAGTTAAGTGGTACAAACTATTGCCCTTCTATCATTGTATGTGATACAAAAACACCCATCCAAATTTACTTTCATTTATTTAAGATAAACATAGGTCAAAAATTGTCCAATATACAGTTAGAAATGATGGGTATGTGATTGTTACTTCGAATAATAGGACTGGCTAACATGATTGGTGCTCATTTTCTAAAGGCGGGGCAAATATAAAGTTAGGTACTCTCAAGGGTACTCTACTCTGAAATCTGTGAAAGGGAATCTATTATCATGTAGAACAAAACGTCCAATGTAACATTCATTGATTATGTCATTGAGAAAAATCGTCCAATGTAACATGTCCGACGTATAACTTGACTAGTCACAACGTCTTGTGTTTTTTTTTCTTCTTTTTTCTTCATAAAATTCAAAGTAAAATTGTGATTTTACCCTTTCAACTGAATTTTCAACGTTATTATTCACTGACTACATTAAAAATAGTATTGCAAGATGTATTGTTTCTAAACAGTTTAAAATAATAATCTGTCGAACTTCAACTTCGATTTTCTCAAAATGGCCATTGGTCTATTTGAAAAGTGATGCGAGATTTCTTATTCTTACTACATTAAATTTTAGAGTATTGCAATCGAACAGAAATTCAATCACCTTTATGTTACACGTGTGCTCATGTGAAATGCTAGCTTCTAGCAAGGATGCAAGATAATTTAAGTACAAATCCCTGCTGCCGAATTGTATTTTGTTTTCTCCGCCCATCTCTTCCTCTGAGTATTTCTATTTAGCTACCAAGGCGTGCTCATGCAAGCTGTCAAATGTTGACATTTCGTTTTCCACTTCTTTATTCCTTTAATAATCATTCTTCTTCAATCCGTCGGTCGTCGCTCGGCCTCGTTAGTTGAGAAAGATGCGTGGCCATCTCGCTCAGTTCGATATTTTCAGTGTTGCGAAAAAGTTGTAAACAGAAGTGCTTCTCTGCGTGTATTTAGACCTGTATTTTGGATTATTTCCAATCACTCGTTCTTCACGTCTGATCCGATTCAGTAAGTAACCGTACCGACTCTAGGCCGAATTCTTCAGAGCGGACACGCTTTTTATCGCCGTTAGTAGTTCTAGGATGTTTCTACGAAATTCTGTGGCGAAGTGGATCGCGGAATGCATGACTAGGTACCATAATTTTCAATGTGCCAATAATTCTGCGGAAGCAGGACCATTTTTTCGCTGCTACTTGCACTGAAAACGCGCAGGGGGAAAAATGCTTTAGTGAACGATAGCAAAAAAAAAGTGATTTTAGCTGGCTGTGTTTGAAAATGCTTCTCGTTATGTAAAAATAGAGTCACAAGCGCAGTTTAACAAAAAAAAAAACAATCAACCAGGAACTTGTTTGCAGATGACTTGGCAAAAATATCCGAAAGATACGGGACGAGGTCAAAGTCGATATTGTATGGCCTATAAATTTGAGAAAACCTCATAAAAAGATATTGTCTGCATCAGTGCTGCACATTAGAAGAAACAGGAAGTAATACTATGTCGATGTCGTTGACGTAGGAAGGCAATGTTTACATTTTGCGGTAATACGCCACTTTTTTCGTCTTATTACGAAAACAAGAGGACAAGTGGGTGACAATTCTACCAGCTCACGCTCATTCAGTACTTTTTCGCGGGCTGGCAATGGTTTCCTTTCTTGTGCTTCAGGTATGGAGAATTTACGAGCTGGCTGATAATATACCGTCACTTGGTGAGGCGTTGTCACGTTGTCGTCACCGCATTAAAACAAACTGAACGAATTTATGCACATTTAAAATAGGTCTGACCATAATGAAAATTAATCATTTTGTCGAGCAGTTTTGAGACGTCCTTCTACATGGATAGAAATTCTCTGGCAAATTTAGATTATTTATTATAATCATAAATCAACTAATAAGCAGAAGACATTCAAGACTGTTAATGAATATGTGTTGTGTTACTCCGTTACAAACGCATTTCAAACGGAGTAATACCCCGTACAGACCTAAGTGGAGTGGAGACAACTCTATCTATATCTATCTCTATCTTAACGCACTTCAAATCGGCCAATCACGAGTAGAAATACTCAGAGGGAGAGTTGGGTGGAGAAAACAAAATACAATTAACCACTTCATTCGAGCAGTTAAAATGACGTTTACTACCACTCGAACTTTGAAATAAAACATTATTTTGAGATATTTTCTTCTAGAACCTCGACAAAAGTAGCCAACATTTGTGCGTTTCATAAAAAAATAGAAATTAGTTAGTCCAGTTTTGTGAAATCGCTGGTAGAAAGTCACGCCAAAACTGCTTGACAAAGTGGTCAATTCGGGAATTCGGCAGCAGGGATTTGTGCCTAAATTATCTTGCAATCCTTGCTTGAAGCTAGCATTTCACATGACTTTTACTTTTGATTCGATTTACGTGCAAAATAATTATTGAGTGCATCGCAATATTTTGCACAGTTCGTGGTGCTATTAGCTAACCAACTAAGATCAATTAATCAATAGAGTTAGAATATTGTTTTTGATTAAAAAAACAAGTTGAATTTGAGAAGCACACGAAACATAAAGGTGATGGAATTTCTGTTCGATTGCAATACTGTCAAATTTAATCTAGTAAGAATAAGAAATCCTCGAAAAATTCTAATGGGAATGTTCGATTGGCTCAGATTTTGACAGTTCATTTGGCTCAAAACATTTTCTCCGCCTATCTCTCCCTCTGAGTATTTCTAGTTTCAATCATAGTCTAAGCGTCTTCTTCTTCACATTTCAAGCTTATTACCTATCGCATTTCAGCTTATTGCGTGCTCTCAACATAGTGTTCTAGATGCACTTCCACAGTTATTAATTGAGAGCTTTCGATGCCTGTACCATTTTTGCATTAGTATAATTGTGTGGCAAATACAATCATACTCTATGCCCAGGGAGATCGATAAATTTTCCAACCCGAAAAATTCCTAGTCGGGACCGGGAATTGAACCCAGTCACCTGCACCATGGTTTTGCTTTGTAGCAGCGCCTTTATCGAATGAGCTAAGGGAAGTCCCAATAGTCTGAGTCTGAACGTAGCATAAATGAAACTATTTGGGAATAAATCCACAGCAAAAAAGTTGTTGAGTATTACATCGAAAGTGCTGTAGCCGGGTCATTCCATCAGTTATGGTGTACGATGTACACAGTTTTTGCGAACAAATATACATCCACCGATGTAAATTGCATTTACATCAATATTTGATACATCAGCTTGAATTACATCTGAGCACTTTCTTATTGCTGTGTAGCTCTCCAATCAGAGTTCAGAACAGAAAAAGCATGACAATTATCATTGCCGGACACGCCCATCTTCTACGTTACTGACAGCGTTGCCAGTATTCTAGATTTATCTGGTCTTTTCAGATTTTCAATCATCTTGCCAGATACACAGACATATCACGTACATTTCCAGATTTTTTAAATATGTTCCAGATCTTACCAGATTTTTTAAAATATGTTGCTTTAAAAATATCATTGCAATTAATTATATGATTTGAGTAGTAGCTATACTGAAGATCCGAGAGATGTCGCCCCTTCAGTGGTAGGAAAATCATTTTTGCAGTATGGAGAATATCAGAAAATCCACGATTTGTGACGAAACATGCTTTCACAGGAGGAAACAAATAAACGAGTGTTTACCTTATCACCATAGTAATGTACTCGTGCAATTTTTGTGCATCTACAACTGTTTATGGGCAATATGGACAATAATGAATAAAAACTGAAAATTGTCATGCATTTCCAAATGGTTTCCTACCATTCCCAAACATTCGAAAGTGACTGGCCCTCTGTATGTGGATGATGTCAAAAACAACAAAACATGATTAATTGAAAGACCGTCTAATCAAAAAATAAAAAAAAACCAAACTTTCTACTTTATTTATTAAAGGCCATCAACGTTGGACATAATTGCAACATCGTACATGGAATTGTTACAACAGGTTTGCAATAGGTTACCGAACCATGAAAATTGAAACATTTTCTAAAGATTATTGGCTGAAAAAAATTTTCGTGGTCGTGCGGCGTCACCCGTCGCTCAGGCGTATTGTGATTCTCGCTCTAGCCGGTGTCACTTTTCGCAACCTGAAAATTTCAGTTTCAGTCAGTTGTCTACTGTTAGGTATGCAGTCTGTGCAACCTCTGGTTGAAAACGATGTCAATTGTCTTTTAAAAGCTCTGATGACAATTGCATGGAAATTTTGTGAATAAAGGAAATAGTTAGAATTCGGAAGAGAAATCATAGAAAATTCTTAAGATGAAATTTAAGGAGTATGCTGATACGAATCGTGAGAATAATTTCAATGGAATTCTATCCAATATTGCTATGGAGGTTCATTTTCATCAAATCATAAAAAAATTTAAACCGAATTATGCGAAAAGAACATCAGGCAATTTCTGGGAGACTTTCAAGTCCATTTTGACAAAGTACTTGAATACATAGAAACTGAGGTGGATTTCAAAACAATTCTGACATTACCTATAAAGCAGTTCAAAGGTAATTATCGGATAAGTCTGAGAAGAGTGTGACGGTCATTCTGAAGATTGTATCAAGGAAATTATTAAGAATATTCTAAGGGAACTTCATATAGAAAGACTAGTTCATATAAAAAAAAAATATTACCAGTTTGAGGGAATCGTTGAATCTGAGAGTGATTTATAAGAGATTACAAGAGATAATGCTAAGAACTCTTAGAATGTTATTAAAAAAGTTTGGATATTATCAAGATTATTTTAAGAGAATCAAGAAAAGAAGTGTGATGGAATTCTAGGATGATTCAAATGGAACTCTGAAAAAAGACGAAGATATCCTGTGAAGAGTTCCAAGTAAATCCAGAAAAATATAAACTCCAGAATTTAGAATCACTTCAAGATCTTGAAACTTCAAAAAATTTTGGAGCATTCCAGATTTTTCCAGATTTTATATTTTAATTGGTCCAGATTTTTCTGAAAATGACCTGGAGCGACTCACCAACACCTCCATAGATGCTACGGAACGAAGTTGGATAGGAGATGGGTCAGGATTCGCTTAAGCAGGTGATGTGACCATAGTAATTGTTTTATATTGGAGGAGTCTGGGAGTAAACCCACGATATTCTACTCAGTAAGCAAAAGCGGTAGCCACAAAGCTAGCCGAGATCCTCAATTTAAATTTTGGGATCTTAGTGTTTAAGAATACCGGTTGAAATATAATGCAAACAAATAAAAAGGAGGGGTCTCAGCCTTCTCACCCGAATCAAAGATGTAGGAATGCAGTTTTTGCCAGAGCTGGAGATTTTTACCGATTGTCCCAATCTTTAGATCCATAGGGCAACATTAGAGCCATTTGATGACGTTTCTCTTGTCGATCTTGTGTTGTTATGTATTTTTCTGTAGCTTTTTATTTAGAAACAATGCATTACAAAATAATGTTATGCATTTTGTACAAGGTTCATCCATGCTGACAAGAAATTTGCATGAAATTACATTGAAATTAAACAATTTTGCAAACAATCAATGAAATTGGCAAGGGCTGTCACAGACTTATCACCGTCGGTTAGTGCTTATTCCTGCCACCAGGCGCGCAGGAGTTTAAGTTGAATTTCTCAATTGCTGTACGGGCATTTTTTTGATACTCTACTGTATGGTGTTAATGAACGTTCAATGACATATGTATAGGGTGGAGCACTAATTCGGCACATTCATGCAACGGTTTATTTTTTGCGCACGGGTTAAATTACAAATGTTAGAAAATGGTACGGCACTGTTGGAAGACTGATTTTAGAAGGGTGTGCCGAAGTGAAGTGAGGTATGCTGAAATGGTACCGCACCCCTTTTGTAAAACGTGCTGCACTTTATTTGCCATTTTTTTTATAGTTCAGCATACAAGTTTCTAGCATGCTTTCCTTAACTACTTTGGAATAGACATTGTTGAGTAAAAGCATCTCGCTCCATAATAAATCAAAATAACATCTATTATCTGGCAACAATCACTTATACTGAGATTTACATTATACCGAATGTGTT